ACTGAGGCTGTAGACCCAGGACTGAGGCTGTAGACCCAGGACTGAGGCTGTAGACCCAGGACTGAGGCTGTAGACCCAGGACTGACGCTGTAGACCCAGGACTGAGACTGTAGACCCAGGACTGAGGCTGTAGACCCAGGACTGAGGCTGTAGACCCAGGACTATATACAGTATATATATATACTATAGTCCTGTATGTATTCAGTGACTTTGTTGTGAAATAGAATACTCGAGTACTCACGGGTTTATTCGGAGTGAGGGCTGTCCACCACGATGTTGGGTTTAGAAGAAGATTTCTCTTCTTTATTTGACACAAATGTTCCAATGAACTTCTCCTGCACAAACACAACACGACAATTCAGAATATTCTACTGCACTGTCAAAGAGGAGGAGGGGAGAGAGGAAGAGAGGAGGAGGGGAGAGAGGATGAGGGGAGAGAGGAAGAGAGGAGGAGGGGAGAGAGGAGGAGGGGAGAGAGGGGGAGAGAGGAAAAGGGGAGAGAGGAGGAGGGGAGAGAGGAAGAGGGGAGAGGAGGAGGGGAGAGAGAGGAGGGGAGGAGGAGAGGAGGAGGGAGAGGAAGAGGGAGAGGAAGAGGGGAGAGAGGAGGAGGGGAGAGAGGAAGAGGGGAGAGAGGAGGAGGGGAGAGAGGAAGAGGGGAGAGAGGAAGAGGGGAGAGAGGAGGAGGGGAGAGAGGGAAGAGGGGAGAGAGGAGGAGGGGAGAGAGGAAGAGGAGAGAGAGGAGGAGGGGAGAGAGGAGGAGGGGAGAGAAGAAAAGAGGAGGAGGGGAGAGAGGAGGAGGGGAGAGAGGAAGAGGGGAGAGAGGAGGGGAGAGAGGAAGAGGGGAGAGAGGAGGAAGGGAGAGAGGAGGAAGGGAGAGAGGAGGAAGAGGGAGAGAGGAGGAGGGGAGAGAGGAGGAGGGGAGAGAGGAAGAGGGGAGAAAGGAAGATGGGAGAGAGGAGGGGAGAGAGGAAGAGGAGAGAGAGGAGGAGGGGAGAGAGGAGGAGGGGAGAGAGGAAAAGGGGAGAGAGGAGGAGGGGAGAGAGGAGGGGAGAGAGGAGGAAGGGAGAGAGGAGAGAGAGGGGAGAGAAGAAAAGAAGAGGAGGGGAGAGAGGAGGAGGAGAGAGAGGAGGAGGGGAGAGAGGAGGAGGGGAGAGAAGAAAAGAGGAGGGGGGGAGAGAGGAGGAGGGGAGAGAAGAAAAGAGGAGGAGGGGAGAGAGGAGGAGGGGAGAGAGGAAAAGGGGAGAGAGGAGGAAGGGAGAGAGGAAGAGGGGAGAGAGGAGGAGGGGAGAGAGGAGGAAGGGAGAGAGGAAGAGGGGAGAGAGGAGGAAGAGAGAGAGGAAGAGGGGAGAGAGGAGGAGGGGAGAGAGGAGGAGGGGAGAGAGGAGGACGGGAGAGAGGAAAAGGGGAGAGAGCAGACACACACCTCTCTCTGGGGGAATCCTGAGGCGTTCCCAGACCGGAGAGAGACCCAGTCCAACATGTCCTAGTGGGGCCTAGTGAGGCCTAGTGGGGCCTAGTGAGGCCTAGTGGGACCTAGTGGGGCCTAGTGAGGCCTAGTGGGTGGGACCTAGTGGGGCCTAGTGAGGCCTAGTGGGACCTAGTGAGGCCTAGTGAGGCCTAGTGGGGCCTAGTGGGGCCTAGTGAGGCCTAGTGGGACCTAGTGAGGCCTAGTGAGGCCTAGTGGGGCCTAGTGGGGCCTAGTGAGGCCTAGTGGGGCCTAGTGAGGCCTAGTGAGGCCTAGTGAGGCCTAGTGGGGCCTAGTGAGGCCTAGTGGGACCTAGTGAGGCCTAGTGGGCAGAGGCTCTGATGGAGAAGTCCTGATGTATAATTATAAATACAGAAGTTTCACACAGATGGTGCACATGCTGTTTCCAGTTTAATGTTTTATTATCTTTATCACTGTTTTTCTCACATTTCTGTAAATACGCCCGGCTCGCCTCGGCCCGGTCCATTATCCCAGCACGGTGAGTGCGTAGAGAATATGTTAAGTGAATTATTAATGACCAGCGCCATTATTTACTGAGCCGTCGGAGCGTACAGCTGCGAGCGTCAGCCCCTCTGGAATTATTGTTATGGAGTTATGAAGCAAACGGGAACAAATCACGCTCATTCTCACACACATTAGAACGCAGTGATATACGCAGTAATATATGGGCCGCCCTGAAGGGGGCGCTGTCCGTCTGAGGCTGTAGACCCAGGACTGAGGCTGTAGACCCAGGACTGAGGCTGTAGACCCAGGACTGAGACTGTAGACCCAGGACTGAGGCTGTAGACCCAGGACTGAGGCTGTAGACCCAGAACTGAGGCTGTAGACCCAGGACTGAGACTGTAGACCCAGGACTGAGACTGTAGACCCAGAACTGAGGCTGTAGACCCAGGACTGAGGCTGTAGACCCAGAACTGAGACTGTAGACCCAGGACTGAGGCTGTAGACCCAGGACTGAGACTGTAGACCCAGGACTGAGGCTGTAGACCCAGGACTGAGGCTGTAGACCCAGAACTGAGGCTGTAGACCCAGGACTGAGGCTGTAGACCCAGGACTGAGGCTGTAGACCCAGGACTGAGGCTGTAGACCCAGAACTGAGGCTGTAGACCCAGGACTGAGGCTGTAGACCCAGGACTGAGACTGTAGACCCAGAACTGAGGCTGTAGACCCAGGACTGAGACTGTAGACCCAGGACTGAGACTGTAGACCCAGGACTGAGACTGTAGACCCAGGACTGAGACTGTAGACCCAGAACTGAGGCTGTAGACCCAGGACTGAGACTGTAGACCCAGGACTGAGGCTGTAGACCCAGGACTGAGACTGTAGACCCAGAACTGAGGCTGTAGACCCAGGACTGAGACTGTAGACCCAGGACTGAGGCTGTAGACCCAGGACTGAGACTGTAGACCCAGGACTGAGACTGTAGACCCAGAACTGAGGCTGTAGACCCAGGACTGAGACTGTAGACCCAGGACTGAGGCTGTAGACCCAGGACTGAGACTGTAGACCCAGAACTGAGGCTGTAGACCCAGGACTGAGGCTGTAGACCCAGGACTGAGGCTGTAGACCCAGAACTGAGGCTGTAGACCCAGGACTGAGACTGTAGACCCAGAACTGAGGCTGTAGACCCAGGACTGAGACTGTAGACCCAGGACTGAGGCTGTAGACCCAGGACTGAGACTGTAGACCCAGAACTGAGGCTGTAGACCCAGGACTGAGGCTGTAGACCCAGAACTGAGGCTGTAGACCCAGGACTGAGGCTGTAGACCCAGGACTGTACCTTTAACCCAGCATGATCCAGATTGGATTCGTACCAAGCATGTACTCATAAAACATAATAAATGAACCCAAATCAAAGATAATTCCTAGAGTGAAGTTAAAAACGAAGCTCATAAAGACAGTAGGAGACCTTGGGAAAACAGTAAAGCCACCTGGGTTTGTGAACGATAACACGGCCCTCACCTCCACCAGCTGATGCCAGTGCTCGATGGGCTTGCGTGGGTTGGCCAACATGGCTGACCAGTGCTCCCGGCCCGGCCCGTCCACGTCCGAGCCCACGCGACACATCCCGATCACCTCGTTGTGGCCGATACTGCGGCAGAGGAAACAGGAGAGGGCTGTGAGCATCGGGAGAGCAGTGAAACCACGGCTGCCTTCTCCTCAGTCAGGAGTCTCGCACAGCTCTTCCAATGTGGTTTTACTGCAAATGGCAAATCAATTCTAGTTTCTTTAATTGGACTGGTAGAATTTGTTTAGTAGTAGTAGTAGTCGCATTAGTAACAGTAGTAGCAGTAATAGTAGTAGTAGTAGTAGTAGTAGTAGTAGCAGTATTAGTGCGAGAAGTAGTATTAGTACTTTTTGTTTTTAAACCATGAGAATTCCAAGATTGTGAACAACATTTATTGTTGTTTTTAGAAAAGAATCCAGAGTATTGTAAAAACAGTTTCTCTTTTACATATTTGTGCAGAAATGGGCTCTTTTCCACTTTTCTTCCTGAAAACGTTGATACAAAAGATGTGACGGAGGCCACAATAATAAACCTGCCTTGTGGTTTACCGTCATCTGGGCGTTAGCGAAGCATAAACGAGGCTAAACAGAGTAAACACCTCCAGCTCCAAGGCAGACGACACTAAAGCAGAGCCAAGTGTTTACGCCAGACGCTAACACAGGCAGGCCACTCATTAGCATAGCATTAGCATAGCATTAGCATAGCATTAGCATAGCAGATGAATATTCAGGAGGACGTTGTTGCTGTAAGACTCCGGGATGACCACCAGGACGCTGACTCAGACGGACCTCTCTGTCGTGTTCAACAACAACGAGAACCAACAACCTCCCGCTCTCTGCCAAATGTGTAAACAAAGCTCCCTCAGGTCAAGAGTAAGAGAGGCCGGAGACCACATACCTCCTCCAGAGGCCGGAGACAGAGGCCGGAGACCACATACCTCCTCCAGAGGCCGGAGACAGAGGCCGGAGACCACATACCACCTCCAGAGGCCGGAGACAGAGGCCGGAGACCACATACCTCCTCCAGAGGCCGGAGACCACATACCACCTCCAGAGGCCGGAGACCACATACCACCTCCAGAGGCCGGAGACAGAGGCCGGAGACCACATACCTCCTCCAGAGGCCGGAGACAGAGGCCGGAGACCACATACCACCTCCAGAGGCCGGAGACAGAGGCCGGAGACCACATACCTCCTCCAGAGGCCGGAGACAGAGGCCGGAGACCACATACCACCTCCAGAGGCCGGAGACAGAGGCCGGAGACCACATACCACCTCCAGAGGCCGGAGACCACATACCACCTCCAGAGGCCGGAGACCACATACCACCTCCAGAGGCCGGAGACCACATACCTCCTCCATTGTCTAAACCATCCTACACCTTTACACAGTATAACATGAAGCGTGAATATACTCAGCCGTACCACACCTGTGTATATATTTAAAACTTATATTATGTCTGTATTTAATCCTCTGGTGAATTACTTCACACTCAGAATACAATTTATTATTTAATAATTTTGAGCCTGAGGATGAATCAATACAAGGATTGATTCAATTTTTCCTCTCATTCTAACTCTGGGCTGGGAACAAAAAAGTAGCAGTGAAAATAACAGTAGTAGTAGTAGTAATAGTAGTAGTAGTAGCAGTAGTAGCAGTAGTAGTAGCAGTAGCAGTAGCAGTAGTAGCAGTAGCAGCAGTAGTAGTAGTAGCAGTAGTAGTAGTAGTACCCATACTAACCAGTCATAGTCCATGACGGCGATGACGATGGAGACGTTCTCGATGTTCTCGTTGGGGATGTCAAACACCAGCGCCTCGTTGTACGTTGGGTTCAGAGTGTTTTTCTTTATCGACGTCTTCCTCTTTTTTAAGCGGCGCCCGTCGCACACCAGCGAGGCCTTCACGTACGGATCTGCACCGGAACCAAGAGGTCACTTTTCTGACTCTCAGAACGAGAGGTTTAACAGGTCAATACATGTCTGAGATATTATTATTAATAATAATAATAATAATAATAATAACAACAACAACAGCCACAGTAGCTCAGTTGGTAGAGCACTGGTCTTTGGACCTAATGGTCATGGGTTCGAGTCCATCACGACCCATGTCACGGAGAAGCCATCATCATCCTGTGGACCCCCACCTGCAGAGGGTCAGTGAGGGGCCGGACATGACACGTGACATAATAATAATACTCATAATGTATCAGTTTTATACAGAGCTTTCTGACGCTCAAAGTCTCTTCACATCATGATCCTCTCTCTCCAAACACAGCAGTGATAAACTACTGTAGCCACAGCTGCCCTGGGGCACACTGACAGGAGCCCCTCCCACCACCACCAACCATTCACACACACACCAGACTCATTCTAATGTGGGGGAAGTATCTTGCCTAAGGACACAACCACAGTTTGGCACTGTTCGGCCTCAGCAGACATCAGTGGAGGGCCGATGCTCTACACTGAGCCACTGCGGCCCCAAAACTAAACTAGTCCAAACTAGATGTGACAGAGGTGCTCCGGGACTTTGAGAAAATCCAGTTTCCACGAGTGCTTGGTCGGGTCTGGGTCCTGTGCCCTCAGCGGCCCAGAGGGGGATGTGATTGGACAACAATAATCTCAGAGTATTCACTTGTCAAATCTGTTTTGAAATACACCGCCATATTGGATCCTTGCACCGAGCGAGATCTGCGAACAGAGATTGAACTGTTTTTTAGCGGTGAAATCTGCGGCTCCGACCCGACAGTACCAGTGCGATACAGAGTGGCCCGGCCGGTCTGCTCCGACCCGACAGTACCAGTGCGATACAGAGTGGCCCGGCCGGTCTGCTCCGACCTGACAGTACCAGTGCGATGCAGAGCGGCCCGGCCGGTCAGGAAACTATACTCTGCAGTTATAGGCGCCGAGGAGACACCAATCTCATGAATATAAAATGTTTTCCACTTTCACACGGCACACATCACAACACAACCCTCACTTCTTCTTCTGCGGTGGCTCTAGAAGCAGACAGCCATGTTGGAAGTTCAAAGAAATGCAGAAAGTCTCAACATTTCTAGTTTTAAAGGTTTTCTGGAGGAGACTGGTGGAAGTGGCCGACGACAGCCGCCATCTTGGACGCCATTTTGTATCTATGAAGATGACCACACTGCATTGGAAAACACCTTTGTATTCATGTAGAAAACAGATTTAGGTGAACGTCCAGGAGGAGCTCGGAGTAGAGCCGCTGCTTCTTCGCGTTGAGAGGAGCCAGTGCATATTTCAGCTAGTTTGGGTTCGTCTCTGTGTTTACTCTGTTCTGATCCAGTCCCACATGTGTTTAAACAAAGACATTTCCAACACCAGCCTGACTCTGGCCTGTGCTCTTAAACGCTTCTCTTCCCAATGTCTCGTTACAGTCCGTCTCGTTAGAGTCCGTCTCGTTACAGTCCGTCTCGTTACAGTCTGTCTCGTTACAGTCCGTCTCGTTACAGTCCGTCTCGTTACAGTCTGTCTCGTTACAGTCCGTCTCGTGACAATCCGTCTCGTTACAGTCCGTCTCGTTAGAGTCCGTCTCGTTACAGTCCGTCTCGTTACAGTCTGTCTCGTTACAGTCCGTCTCGTTAGAGTCCGTCTCGTTACAGTCCGTCTCGTTACAGTCTGTCTCGTTACAGTCCGTCTCGTGACAATCCGTCTCGTTACAGTCCGTCTCGTTACAGTCCGTCTCGTTACAGTCCGTCTCGTTACAGTCCGTCTCGTTACAGTCCGTCTCGTTACAGTCCGTCTCGTTAGAGTCCGTCTCGTTAGAGTCCGTCTCGTTAGAGTCCGTCTCGTTACAGTCCGTCTCGTTACAGTCCGTCTCGTTAGAGCCCGTCTCGTTACAGTCCGTCTCGTTACAGTCCGTCTCGTTACAATCCGTCTCGTTACAATCCGTCTCGTTACAGTCCGTCTCGTTACAGTCCGTCTCGTTACAGTCTGTCTCGTTACAGTCCGTCTCGTGACAATCCGTCTCGTTACAGTCCGTCTCGTTACAGTCCGTCTCGTTACAGTCCGTCTCGTTACAATCCGTCTCGTTACAATCCGTCTCGTTACAGTCCGTCTCGTTACAGTCCGTCTCGTTACAGTCCGTCTCGTTACAGTCCGTCTCGTTACAATCCGTCTCGTTACAGTCCGTCTCGTTACAGTCCGTCTCGTTAGAGTCCGTCTCGTTACAGTCCGTCTCGTTACAGTCCGTCTCGTTACAGTCCGTCTCGTTACAATCCGTCTCGTTACAGTCCGTCTCGTTACAGTCCGTCTCGTTACAGTCCGTCTCGTTACAATCCGTCTCGTTACAGTCCGTCTCGTTACAGTCCGTCTCGTTAGAGTCCGTCTCGTTACAGTCCGTCTCGTTACAATCCGTCTCGTTACAATCCGTCTCGTTACAGTCCGTCTCGTTACAGTCCGTCTCGTTACAATCCGTCTCGTTACAGTCTGTCTCGTTACAGTCCGTCTCGTTACAGTCCGTCTCGTTACAGTCCGTCTCGTTACAGTCCGTCTCGTTACAGTCCGTCTCGTTACAGTCCGTCTCGTTACAGTCCGTCTCGTTACAGTCCGTCTCGTTACAATCCGTCTCGTTACAGTCCGTCTCGTTACAGTCCGTCTCGTTACATTCTGTCTCGTTACAGTCCGTCTCGTTACAGTCCGTCTCGTTACAATCCGTCTCGTTACAGTCCGTCTCGTTAGAGTCCGTCTCGTTACAATCCGTCTCGTTACAGTCCGTCTCGTTACAATCCGTCTCGTTACAGTCTGTCTCGTTACAGTCCGTCTCGTTACAGTCCGTCTCGTTACAGTCCGTCTCGTTACAGTCCGTCTCGTTACAGTCCGTCTCGTTACAGTCCGTCTCGTTACAGTCCGTCTCGTTACAGTCCGTCTCGTTACAGTCCGTCTCGTTACAATCCGTCTCGTTACAGTCCGTCTCGTTACAGTCCGTCTCGTTACAGTCCGTCTCGTTACAATCCGTCTCGTTACAGTCCGTCTCGTTAGAGTCCGTCTCGTTACAGTCCGTCTCGTTACAGTCCGTCTCGTTACAATCCGTCTCGTTACAGTCCGTCTCGTTACAGTCCGTCTCGTTACAGTCCGTCTCGTTACAGTCCGTCTCGTTACAGTCCGTCTCGTTACAATCCGTCTCGTTACAATCCGTCTCGTTACAGTCCGTCTCGTTACAGTCCGTCTCGTTACAGTCCGTCTCGTTACAGTCCGTCTCGTTACAGTCCGTCTCGTTACAATCCGTCTCGTTACAGTCCGTCTCGTTACAATCCGTCTCGTTACAATCCGTCTCGTTACAGTCCGTCTCGTTACAGTCCGTCTCGTTACAGTCCGTCTCGTTACAATCCGTCTCGTTACAGTCCGTCTCGTTACAGTCCGTCTCGTTACAGTCCGTCTCGTTACAGTCCGTCTCGTTACAGTCCGTCTCGTTACAGTCCGTCTCGTTAGAGTCCGTCTCGTTACAGTCCGTCTCGTTACAGTCCGTCTCGTTACAATCCGTCTCGTTACAATCCGTCTCGTTACAGTCCGTCTCGTTACAGTCCGTCTCGTTACAGTCCGTCTCGTTACAGTCCGTCTCGTTACAATCCGTCTCGTTACAATCCGTCTCGTTACAGTCCGTCTCGTTACAGTCCGTCTCGTTACAGTCCGTCTCGTTACAGTCCGTCTCGTTACAGTCCGTCTCGTTACAATCCGTCTCGTTACAGTCCGTCTCGTTACAGTCCGTCTCGTTACAATCCGTCTCGTTACAGTCCGTCTCGTTACAATCCGTCTCGTTACAGTCCGTCTCGTTACAGTCCGTCTCGTTAGAGTCCGTCTCGTTACAGTCTGTCTCGTTACAGTCCGTCTCGTTACAGTCCGTCTCGTTACAGTCCGTCTCGTTACAGTCCGTCTCGTTACAATCCGTCTCGTTACAGTCCGTCTCGTTACAGTCCGTCTCGTTACAGTCCGTCTCGTTACAGTCCGTCTCGTTACAGTCCGTCTCGTTACAGTCTGTCTCGTTACAGTCCGTCTCGTTACAGTCCGTCTCGTTACAGTCCGTCTCGTTACAGTCCGTCTCGTTACAATCCGTCTCGTTACAGTCTGTCTCGTTACAGTCCGTCTCGTTACAGTCCGTCTCGTTACAGTCCGTCTCGTTACAGTCCGTCTCGTTACAGTCCGTCTCGTTACAGTCCGTCTCGTTACAATCCGTCTCGTTACAGTCTGTCTCGTTACAGTCCGTCTCGTTACAGTCCGTCTCGTTACAGTCCGTCTCGTTACAGTCCGTCTCGTTACAGTCCGTCTCGTTATAGTCCGTCTCGTTACAGTCCGTCTCGTTACAATCCGTCTCGTTACAGTCTGTCTCGTTACAGTCCGTCTCGTTACAGTCTGTCTCGTTACAGTCCGTCTCGTTACAATCCGTCTCGTTACAGTCCGTCTCGTTACAGTCCGTCTCGTTACAGTCTGTCTCGTTACAGTCCGTCTCGTTACAATCCGTCTCGTTACAGTCCGTCTCGTTACAGTCCGTCTCGTTACAGTCCGTCTCGTTACAATCCGTCTCGTTACAATCCGTCTCGTTACAGTCCGTCTCGTTACAGTCCGTCTCGTTACAGTCCGTCTCGTTACAGTCCGTCTCGTTACAGTCCGTCTCGTTACAGTCCGTCTCGTTACAGTCCGTCTCGTTACAATCCGTCTCGTTACAATCCGTCTCGTTACAGTCTGTCTCGTTACAGTCCGTCTCGTTACAGTCCGTCTCGTTACAGTCCGTCCGTTACGTCCTCTCGTTACAGTCCGTCTCGTTACAGTCCGTCTCGTTACAGTCCGTCTCGTTACAGTCCGTCTCGTTACAGTCCGTCTCGTTACAGTCCGTCTCGTTACAGTCCGTCTCGTTACAGTCCGTCTCGTTACAGTCCGTCTCGTTACAGTCCGTCTCGTTACAGTCCGTCTCGTTACAGTCCGTCTCGTTACAGTCCGTCTCGTTACAGTCCGTCTCGTTACAGTCCGTCTCGTTACAGTCCGTCTCGTTACAGTCTCCTCAGGACGGACCTGTCGGAGTCCTGCATTCTTCTGATCAAAATGGAGGAGGTGGAAATTGTGCTTTTCAAACTCAAAGTCATAAAAAGAGAGATGAGGGTTTGTCTGAGGAAACTCTGAGTCACTCTTTACAGAAAATAAGAATCCTTTGATGAACAGGAAGTGGGTTCTTTCCTTTGTCTGCTTTGTTTCTTGTCTCTAGTGTTATTTTGACAGTTTCAAAGTCTGTTGTACAGATTGTGCGGCGCCGCGTAAACACTGGTTTTAAAATGTGTGTAAATAATAAAAAGTAGTTATTGTATTATTCTGACTCAGGCCTACAGACCTCCTCATTTCTGCTCGATGCATTTCCAATAGATTCTTGTTTTGAAAGTAAAATGTAGAAATGTACAGAATGTATTTAAACGTCACGATGGACTTTCAGGATTAAACTGGGAAAAACAAAACTCAAATCAAATCAGTTTCTGCCTTCACTGCATTAGCACGAAACAAAACGTGGACTTTGACAGATTTAGAGCTTTGAGAAAAACAGTCTCTGCGTCTGTGGAACCTGAGCCTTTTTTCTGCAGAATAAACAAATCAGAGACAGAAACGATGACCTTTGGAGAGGCGTGCGCCCAGTTCTCTCACTGCTAATGTTATGCTAATGTTATGCTACCGGTATGCTAACGTTATGCTAACATCATGCTAACATTATGCTACCTGCCGCCGCGGTAAAAAAGCCGAGGGAAACCCAGTCCCTGCATCAGAGATAAAGCTCTTTATTCAACGTTTGGACGAAAACAGAGAATTAATCTATAAATACAACACATCCACACACACACACACACACACACACTTATACAGACACACACACATACACGTACACACTTATACAGACACACACACACACACACACACACACACTTATACAGACACACACACATCCACACACACACACACACATACACGTACACACTTATACAGACACACACACACACACACACATACACACATCTATACAGACACACACACATACACACACACACACACACATACACACACACATACACGTACACACTTATACATCCACACACACACACATACACGTACACACTTATACATCCACACACACACACATACACGTACACACTTATACATCCATACACACACACATACGCGTACACACTTATACATCCATACACACACACATACGCGTACACACTTATACATCCACACACACACACATACACGTACACACTTATACATCCACACACACACACACATACACGTACACACTTATACAGACACACACACACACACACACACTTATACAGACACACACACACACATACACGTACACACTTATACAGACACACACACATACACGTACACACTTATACAGACACACGCACACACATACACACACACACACACTTATACATCTATACAGACACACACACACACATCTATACAGACACACACACACACACACACTTATACAGACACACACACACACACACTTATACAGACACACACACACGCACACACACACACTATCTTACAGTGATCATATTTAGTGAATTCAAAAATTAAAAAGAAAATGCTTGACTTTGGGAGTCAGAAAAAGCGTTATATATATATATATATATATATATATATATATATATATATATATATATATAAAACCAATGCATTATTATTATTATTATTATTATTATTAACTGTAGCAGCGTCCATTAGCGACAGACTCTGTAACCGTGGCAACGCTTGAAGAGGTAAGTGCAGTGTGATCATCAAAGCCTGAGCTCCTTTTGACTTCAGTCTCTGCTCAAACACGACGCAATAACACGACGCAATAACACGACACAATAACACGACGCAATAACACGACGCAATAACACGACGCAATAACAAACACGACGCAATAACACGACGCAATAAAACGACACAATAACACGACACAATAACACGACACAATAAGACGACACAATAAAGGGGCGTTCACACCGGACTTAACTTCGGCGTCAAAAGCGTCAGGTTTGCATTGAAAGTGAATGGTGAAGCGCGTCAGGTGAAGCCGAGAGCCCCGGCGTCACTTGACGCGCGTCAAAAGCTTCAAGAGTCGCGCGTCAAAAGCACGCGCAACTCTTGAAGCTTTTGACGCGCGAAACGCTCGCGTATCACAACAATCCCTCTGACGCCGAAGCTGAGCAAAGCTGAGCTTTTGAAGCTTTGACGCTCAACCAATCAGGAGACGAGGAGCAGCAGCAGCAGAGGGTCTGTCTCTGTCATGAAGAGAAGTCATGTATCTGCTGCTGCTGTTTTATTGTCATTATTGTTATTAGTAATATTATTTGTATGAGTAGTAACGTTCTGAGTAACAAAAATCATTGTACACATGCTGTGTAGTAAACGTAGTTTATTTAATATAAGAACAGGCTGACGATGAGTCTGGCTCAGAGCAAGGCAGCTCCGGGCGGGCGAGAGCCGGGGAGAGGCAGGGAGAGGCGAGCGAGAGCCGGGGAGAGGCAGGGAGAGGCGAGCGAGAGCCGGGGAGAGGCGAGCGAGAGCCGGGGAGAGGCAGGGAGAGGCGAGAGCCGGGGAGAGGCAGGGAGAGGCGAGCGAGAGCCGGGGAGAGGCAGGGAGAGGCGAGAGCGAGGCGGGGAGAGGCAGGGAGAGGCGAGCGAGAGCCGGGGAGAGGCGAGCGAGAGCCGGGGAGAGGCGAGCGAGAGCCGGGGAGAGGCGAGCGAGAGCCGGGGAGAGGCGGGGAGAGGCGAGAGCTGGGGAGAGGCGAGCGAGAGCCGCGGAGAGGCGAGAGGCGGGGTTTGAGAACTCAGACTGTGCAAGTGACATGCGGAAGTACCGCTGAAAGCGAAACTCCTCCGTACGCAGCTCCTGGAGTAAATGACGGAACTCTGCAAACACTGCAGCCTCAGTCTGTGGTGAACCCAGAACATGTTTTGTTGAAGCCCTACAACAACGTTATTTTGCTTTATATAACAAATAAAGGCTCGCTGCTCATTGAAAAATCCACCGCTGTCCTGACTACAGACAACAGAGAAGCTCCTCCCACAGGCAACAGAGAAGCTCCTCCCACAGACAACAGAGAAGCTCCTCCCACAGACAACAGAGAAGCTCCTCCCACAGACAACAGAGAAGCTCCTCCCACAGACAACAGAGAAGCTCCCTCCCACAGACAACAGAGAAGCTCCTCCCACAGACAACAGAGAAGCTCCTCCCACAGACAACAGAGAAGCTCCTCCCACAGACAACAGAGAAGCTCCTCCCACAGACAACAGAGAAGCTCCTCCCACAGGCAACAGAGAAGCTCCTCCCACAGACAACAGAGAAGCTCCTCCCACAGACAACAGAGAAGCTCCTCCCACAGACAACAGAGAAGCTCCTCCCACAGGCAACAGAGAAGCTCCTCCCACAGACAACAGAGAAGCTCCTCCCACAGACAACAGAGAAGCTCCTCCCACAGGCAACAGAGAAGCTCCTCCCACAGACAACAGAGAAGCTCCTCCCACAGACAACAGAGAAGCTCCTCCCACAGACAACAGAGAAGCTCCTCCCACAGACAACAGAGAAGCTCCTCCCACAGGCAACAGAGAAGCTCCTCCCACAGACAACAGAGAAGCTCCTCCCACAGACAACAGAGAAGCTCCTCCCACAGGCAACAGAGAAGCTCCTCCCACAGACAACAGAGAAGCTCCTCCCACAGACAACAGAGAAGCTCCTCCCACAGGCAACAGAGAAGCTCCTCCCACCGGCGTCAGGCGCGTCACTCGCGTCAAAAGCTTCAAGCACCAAAATGACAAAACTATCCCGGCGTCAGTTGAAGCGCATCAAAAGCTTTTTGAAGCTTTTGGTCTGAACGCGCCTTAACACATCACAATAACACGACTCGACGCCGCTGCTCGGAGCTCACACAAACCTAATCTTTCCTCGGCTCGTCCCAGTTTCCACAGATGAGGAGACGAGGAACACAAAACCACCGGGGTTATTTAGCGAGCTGACGTTTCCCGTTCACGGTTTGATGATGTGTGTTTATGGTGTAACCTTTAGCCGTGAAAAATCACCTGCGAACTCTCCACGTTTGGGATGAGCGGAGAGTGGAGGGGTTAGCATGAGGTTAGCATGAGCAGAGAGTGAAGCGCCTGCGTGACTCCCTCACTAACCAGATAATTACTCTGATAATGTCAGTATAATACCCAGTAACACTGTGAGGAATCTTGGAGTCATTTTTGACCAAGAACTCTCCTTCAAGGCTTATATAAGCCAAGCAACTAAAACGGCGTACTTCCACTTACGGAACATCGCTAAAATTAGGAATTTCCTTCCTAAAAGTGACGCGGAAAAACTCATTCACGCGTTTGTCACCTCAAGGCTCGACTACTGTAACGCTTTACTGGCAGCGTGCCCTAAAGCCTCTTTGAAGAGCTTCCAGCTCGTTCAGAATACAGCAGCTAGGATCTTAACAGGTACCAAAAGGAGGGAGCACATAACTCCGGTGTTGAAATCACTCCACTGGCTCCCTGTGGAGTACAGAATAAAGTTTAAAATCCTTCTCTTAACATATAAAGCCATAAATGGCTTGGCTCCTTCTTATCTCCAAGACACGTTAGTGTCGTATCAACCAAGTCGAGCGTTGCGCTCACAAAACGCCAGACGTCTGGTGGTCCCTAAGGTCTCAAAGGTCACTGTTGGTGGCAGAGCATTTAGCTACCAAGCTCCTTTACTGTGGAATCAGCTTCATTTATGTTAAGGAAGCAGATACGGTCTCCACATTCAAGGCCAGGCTTAAAGCACTTTACTTTAATTTAGCATATAATTAGGTAATATATAATATATAGTGTATATATTATATATGTATGCTGTATTATGTTATATATTATGTTGTATATTATACAATAATGTATTGTGTTATGTTGTATATTATGTTATATATTATGCTGTATGTTATGTTGTGTATTATATATAATATATATAATATGTATTATATATGATATATAATATATAATTAGGTTTGCCTGGATCGGTTTGGCACACCTGGTGTGCAATCCATGAATCTTGGTGCTGTAACCTAGACTAGCCTAGCCGTGGCTGCTGCTGTCTCGCCTCCTTTCAGATACGCTCTCTTTATTCAAGGCTACAGTAGGTTTAAAACAGTCCTCTTTAGTTTAGCATATGGCTAGGAAGGTAAGACTCAGGCTGAGTTTACACGGAGACAATGTGGCAGTAAAACGCTATAGTTGGATGTTGGTTTCTACCAACCGTTCAAGAGACCAGAGAGAGAGACCAGAGAGAGACCAGAGAGAGACCAGAGAGAGACCAGAGAGGGAGACATGCATTACCATGTGTGTAAGTATGGTATGAACATATGAGTAGTAAGTTGTAATGTTTATTAATATATTATTAATATAGCATATGTTACAGACCAGTGTTACACCCTGGCTCTACAGGTGCAACATGAAGGACAACAGCTTACTAAAAGTTAATATAATTTATTAACAGCAACAAAAGTCTAGGGAGATAACACAAAGAAAACCAAACAGGGGAAGGCAGGTGTGGTGGTGAGCTGCTGCTGCCAGGACAGAGAGAGAGAGGTGGAGTCAGGGTGTGGTCTTATAGGCTCCCAGCAGGACAGAGAGAGAGAGGTGGAGTCAGGGTGTGGTCTTATAGACTCCCAGCAGGACAGAGAGAGAGAGGTGGAGTCAGGGTGTGGTCTTATAGACTCCCAGCAGGACAGAGAGAGAGGTGGAGTCAGGGTGTGGTCTTATAGGCTCCCAGCAGGACAGAGAGAGAGAGGTGGAGTCAGGGTGTGGTCTTATAGGCTCCCAGCAGGACAGAGAGAGAGAGGTGGAGTCAGGGTGTGGTCTTATAGACTCCCAGCAGGACAGAGAGAGAGGTGGAGTCAGGGTGTGGTCTTATAGACTCCCAGCAGGACAGAGAGAGAGGTGGAGTCAGGGTGTGGTCTTATAGACTCCCAGCAGGACAGAGAGAGAGAGGTGGAGTCAGGGTGTGGTCTTATAGGCTCCCAGCAGGACAGAGAGAGAGGTGGAGTCAGGGTGTGGTCTTATAGGCTCCCAGCAGGACAGAGAGAGAGAGGTGGAGTCAGGGTGTGGTCTTATAGGCTCCCAGCAGGACAGAGAGAGAGAGGTGGAGTCAGGGTGTGGTCTTATAGACTCCCAGCAGGACAGAGAGAGAGAGGTGGAGTCAGGGTGTGGTCTTATAGGCTCCCAGCAGGACAGAGAGAGAGAGGTGGAGTCAGGGTGTGGTCTTATAGGCTCCCAGCAGGACAGAGAGAGAGAGGTGGAGTCAGGGTGTGGTCTTATAGACTCCCAGCAGGACAGAGAGAGAGGTGGAGTCAGGGTGTGGTCTTATAGACTCCCAGCAGGACAGAGAGAGAGAGGTGGAGTCAGGGTGTGGTCTTATAGACTCCCAGCAGGACAGAGAGAGAGGTGGAGTCAGGGTGTGGTCTTATAGACTCCCAGCAGGACAGAGAGAGAGAGGTGGAGTCAGGGTGTGGTCTTATAGGCTCCCAGCAGGACAGAGAGAGAGAGGTGGAGTCAGGGTGTGGTCTTATAGACTCCCAGCAGGACAGAGAGAGAGAGGTGGAGTCAGGGTGTGGTCTTATAGGCTCCCAGCAGGACAGAGAGAGAGAGGTGGAGTCAGGGTGTGGTCTTATAGGCTCCCAGCAGGACAGAGAGAGAGAGGTGGAGTCAGGGTGTGGTCTTATAGACTCCCAGCAGGACAGAGAGAGAGGTGGAGTCAGGGTGTGGTCTTATAGGCTCCCAGCAGGACAGAGAGAGAGAGGTGGAGTCAGGGTGTGGTCTTATAGGCTCCCAGCAGGACAGAGAGAGAGAGGTGGAGTCAGGGTGTGGTCTTATAGACTCCCAGCAGGACAGAGAGAGAGGTGGAGTCAGGGTGTGGTCTTATAGGCTCCCAGCAGGACAGAGAGAGAGAGGTGGAGTCAGGGTGTGGTCTTATAGGCTCCCAGCAGGACAGAGAGAGAGAGGTGGAGTCAGGGTGTGGTCTTATAGGCTCCCAGCAGGACAGAGAGAGAGAGGTGGAGTCAGGGTGTGGTCTTATAGACTCCCAGCAGGACAGAGAGAGAGAGGTGGAGTCAGGGTGTGGTCTTATAGGCTCCCAGCAGGACAGAGAGAGAGAGGTGGAGTCAGGGTGTGGTCTTATAGGCTCCCAGCAGGACAGAGAGAGAGAGGTGGAGTCAGGGTGTGGTCTTATAGGCTCCCAGCAGGACAGAGAGAGAGAGGTGGAGTCAGGGTGTGGTGTGGTCTTATAGACTCCCAGCAGGACAGAGAGAGAGAGGTGGAGTCAGGGTGTGGTCTTATAGACTCCCAGCAGGACAGAGAGAGAGGTGGAGTCAGGGTGTGGTCTTATAGGCTCCCAGCAGGACAGAGAGAGAGAGGTGGAGTCAGGGTGTGGTCTTATAGACTCCCAGCAGGACAGAGAGAGAGAGGTGGAGTCAGGGTGTGGTCTTATAGGCTCCCAGCAGGACAGAGAGAGAGAGGTGGAGTCAGGGTGTGGTCTTATAGACTCCCAGCAGGACAGAGAGAGAGAGGTGGAGTCAGGGTGTGGTCTTATAGACTCCCAGCAGGACAGAGAGAGAGAGGTGGAGTCAGGGTGTGGTCTTATAGGCTCCCAGCAGGACAGAGAGAGAGAGGTGGAGTCAGGGTGTGGTCTTATAGACTCCCAGCAGGACAGAGAGAGAGAGGTGGAGTCAGGGTGTGGTCTTATAGGCTCCCAGCAGGACAGAGAGAGAGGTGGAGTCAGGGTGTGGTCTTATAGACTCCCAGCAGGACAGAGAGAGAGGTGGAGTCAGGGTGTGGTCTTATAGGCTCCCAGCAGGACAGAGAGAGAGAGGTGGAGTCAGGGTGTGGTCTTATAGGCTCCCAGCAGGACAGAGAGAGAGAGGTGGAGTCAGGGTGTGGTCTTATAGGCTCCCAGCAGGACAGAGAGAGAGAGGTGGAGTCAGGGTGTGGTCTTATAGACTCCCAGCAGGACAGAGAGAGAGAGGTGGAGTCAGGGTGTGGTCTTATAGGCTCCCAGCAGGACAGAGAGAGAGGTGGAGTCAGGGTGTGGTCTTATAGCTCCCAGCAGGACAGAGAGAGAGGGTGGAGTCAGGGTGTGGTCTTATAGACTCCCAGCAGGACAGAGAGAGAGGGTGGAGTCAGGGTGTGGTCTTATAGGCTCCCAGCAGGACAGAGAGAGAGGTGGAGTCAGGGTGTGGTCTTATAGACTCCCAGCAGGACAGAGAGAGAGAGGTGGAGTCAGGGTGTGGTCTTATAGACTCCCAGCAGGACAGAGAGAGAGAGGGAGTCAGGGTGTGGTCTTATAGGCTCCCAGCAGGACAGAGAGAGAGAGGTGGAGTCAGGGTGTGGTCTTATAGGCTCCCAGCAGGACAGAGAGAGAGGTGGAGTCAGGGTGTGGTCTTATAGGCTCCCAGCAGGACAGAGAGAGAGGTGGAGTCAGGGTGTGGTCTTATAGGCTCCCAGCAGGACAGAGAGAGAGAGGTGGAGTCAGGGTGTGGTCTTATAGGCTCCCAGCAGGACAGAGAGAGAGGTGGAGTCAGGGTGTGGTCTTATAGGCTCCCAGCAGGACAGAGAGAGAGAGGTGGAGTCAGGGTGTGGTCTTATAGGCTCCCAGCAGGACAGAGAGAGAGAGGTGGAGTCAGGGTGTGGTCTTATAGACTCCCAGCAGGACAGAGAGAGAGGTGGAGTCAGGGTGTGGTCTTATAGGCTCCCAGCAGGACAGAGAGAGAGGTGGAGTCAGGGTGTGGTCTTATAGAGCTCCCAGCAGGACAGAGAGAGAGGTGGAGTCAGGGTGTGGTCTTATAGGCTCCCAGCAGGACAGAGAGAGAGGTGGAGTCAGGGTGTGGTCTTATAGGTTCCCAGCAGGACAGAGAGAGAGGTGGAGTCAGGGTGTGGTCTTATAGGCTCCCAGCAGGACAGAGAGAGAGGTGGAGTCAGGGTGTGGTCTTATAGGCTCCCAGCAGGACAGAGAGAGAGAGGTGGAGTCAGGGTGTGGTCTTATAGGCTCCCAGCAGGACAGAGAGAGAGAGGTGGAGTCAGGGTGTGGACAGAGAGAGAGGTGGAGTCAGGGTGTGGTCTTATAGGCTCCCAGCAGGACAGAGAGAGAGAGGTGGAGTCAGGGTGTGGACAGAGAGAGAGGTGGAGTCAGGGTGTGGTCTTATAGGCTCCCAGCAGGACAGAGAGAGAGAGGTGGAGTCAGGGTGTGGTCTTATAGGCTCCCAGCAGGACAGAGAGAGAGGTGGAGTCAGGGTGTGGTCTTATAGACTCCCAGCAGGACAGAGAGAGAGGTGGAGTCAGGGTGTGGTCTTATAGACTCCCAGCAGGACAGAGAGAGAGAGGTGGAGTCAGGGTGTGGTCTTATAGGCTCCCAGCAGGACAGAGAGAGAGAGGTGGAGTCAGGGTGTGGTCTTATAGACTCCCAGCAGGACAGAGAGAGAGAGGTGGAGTCAGGGTGTGGTCTTATAGGCTCCCAGCAGGACAGAGAGAGAGAGGTGGAGTCAGGGTGTGGTCTTATAGGCTCCCAGCAGGACAGAGAGAGAGAGGTGGAGTCAGGGTGTGGTCTTATAGACTCCCAGCAGGACAGAGAGAGAGGTGGAGTCAGGGTGTGGTCTTATAGACTCCCAGCAGGACAGAGAGAGAGAGGTGGAGTCAGGGTGTGGTCTTATAGGCTCCCAGCAGGACAGAGAGAGAGAGGTGGAGTCAGGGTGTGGACAGAGAGAGAGGTGGAGTCAGGGTGTGGTCTTATAGGCTCCCAGCAGGACAGAGAGAGAGAGGTGGAGTCAGGGTGTGGTCTTATAGGCTCCCAGCAGGACAGAGAGAGAGAGGTGGAGTCAGGGTGTGGACAGAGAGAGAGGTGGAGTCAGGGTGTGGTCTTATAGGCTCCCAGCAGGACAGAGAGAGAGAGGTGGAGTCAGGGTGTGGACAGAGAGAGAGGTGGAGTCAGGGTGTGGTCTTATAGGCTCCCAGCAGGACAGAGAGAGAGAGGTGGAGTCAGGGTGTGGACAGAGAGAGAGGTGGAGTCAGGGTGTGGTCTTATAGGCTCCCAGCAGGACAGAGAGAGAGAGGTGGAGTCAGGGTGTGGTCTTATAGGCTCCCAGCAGGACAGAGAGAGAGAGGTGGAGTCAGGGTGTGGACAGAGAGAGAGGTGGAGTCAGGGTGTGGTCTTATAGGCTCCCAGCAGGACAGAGAGAGAGAGGTGGAGTCAGGGTGTGGTCTTATAGGCTCCCAGCAGGACAGAGAGAGAGAGGTGGAGTCAGGGTGTGGTCTTATAGGCTCCCAGCAGGACAGAGAGAGAGAGGTGGAGTCAGGGTGTGGTCTTATAGGCTCCCAGCAGGACAGAGAGAGAGAGGTGGAGTCAGGGTGTGGACAGAGAGAGAGGTGGAGTCAGGGTGTGGTCTTATAGGCTCCCAGCAGGACAGAGAGAGAGAGGTGGAGTCAGGGTGTGGACAGAGAGAGAGGTGGAGTCAGGGTGTGGTCTTATAGGCTCCCAGCAGGACAGAGAGAGAGAGGTGGAGTCAGGGTGTGGACAGAGAGAGAGGTGGAGTCAGGGTGTGGTCTTATAGGCTCCCAGCAGGACAGAGAGAGAGAGGTGGAGTCAGGGTGTGGTCTTATAGGCTCCCAGCAGGACAGAGAGAGAGAGGTGGAGTCAGGGTGTGGACAGAGAGAGAGGTGGAGGTGGAACAGGTCTGAATGGCAGCTCCACTTTACACAGTCAGAGTCAGATACTGTTCCATTCTCTCCACATGGTGCTGAAGTGAGACCAGGACACACTGGACCATCAAAGCCTCCGCCCAAACACCATCTATTCACTCACTCATTACATTCGGATTCGAACCCAGGACCTTCTTGCTGAGAAGCCAGAGTGCTAACCACTCAGCCACTGTGCCGCCCTATGAGAAATATGATGGAGCAGAAGTTGCCTGAATGATGATGGTTCATCCTCTCACTGTGTCCTGATCCTGTGTGGATGTACCATGTGTGTATTGACCTGGTCTTTACACATGGTCCTGGTCTGTAGACATATGGTCCTGGTCTTTACACATGGTCCTGGTCTTTACACATGGTCCTGGTCTGTAGACATATGGTCCTGGTCTTTACACATGGTCCTGGACACACATGGTCCTGGTCTGGACACACATGGTCCTGGTCTGGACATACATGGTCCTGGTCTGTAGACACATGGTCCTGGTCTTTACACATGGTCCTGGACACACATGGTCCTGGTCTGGACACACATGGTCCTGGTCTGGACATACATGGTCCTGGTCTGGACACACATGGTCCTGGTCTTTACACATGGTCCTGGACACACATGGTCCTGTGCTCTGTGCAGAGTGAGCAGTGCAGAGAACTACTTCCTGAGCGACGGTCTGTATCTGCCAGAGGAACATCTGCAGGAACGCAAACATCTGCAGCTCAGTGTGGTTCAAGTGCAGCCACTGGAGCCAGGACACCAGGAGCTCACAGGTACAGGCTCACAGGTACAGGCTCACAGGTACAGGCTCACAGGTACAGGCTCACAGGTACAGGCTCACAGGTACAGGCTCACAGGTACAGGCTCACAGGTACAGGCTCATGCAGTAGACCATATGGACTTAGTGGCACAGGCTGTATGCAGATGGACAATGCTAACACAGGCTGTATACAGATGCTAATGCTAACACAGACTGTATACAGATGAACAATGCTAACACAGACTGTATACAGATGGACAATGCTAACACAGACTGTATACAGATGAACAATGCTAACACTGACTGTATACAGATGGACAATGCTAACACAGACTGTATACAGATGAACAATGCTAACACAGACTGTATGCAGATGGACAATGCTAACACAGACTGTATGCAGATGGACAATGCTAACACAGACTGTATGCAGATGGACAATGCTAACACAGACTGTATACAGATGCTAATGCTAACACAGACTGTATACAGATGCTAATGCTAACACAGACTGTATACAGATGCTAATGCTAACACAGACTGTATGCAGATGGACAATGCTAACACAGACTGTATACAGATGCTAATGCTAACACAGACTGTATGCAGATGGACAATGCTAACACAGACTGTATACAGATGCTAATGCTAACACAGACTGTATACAGATGCTAATGCTAACACAGACTGTATACAGATGCTAATGCTAACACAGACTGTATACAGATGCTAATGCTAACACAGACTGTATACAGATGCTAATGCTAACACAGACTGTATACAGATGCTAATGCTAACACAGACTGTATACAGATGCTAATGCTAACACAGACTGTATACAGATGCTAATGCTAACACAGACTGTATACAGATGCTAGTGCTAACACAGACTGTATGCAGATGCTAATGCTAACACAGACTGTATACAGATGCTAATGCTAACACAGACTGTATACAGATGCTAATGCTAACACAGACTGTATACAGATGCTAATGCTAACACAGACTGTATACAGATGCTAATGCTAACACAGACTGTATACAGATGCTAATGCTAACACAGACTGTATACAGATGCTAATGCTAACACAGACTGTATACAGATGCTAATGCTAACACAGACTGTATACAGATGCTAATGCTAACACAGACTGTATACAGATGCTAATGCTAACACAGACTGTATACAGATGCTAATGCTAACACAGACTGTATACAGATGCTAATGCTAACACAGACTGTATACAGATGCTAATGCTAACACAGACTGTATACAGATGCTAATGCTAACACAGACTGTATACAGATGCTAATGCTAACACAGACTGTATACAGATGCTAATGCTAACACAGACTGTATACAGATGCTAATGCTAACACAGACTGTATGCAGATGCTAATGCTAACACAGACTGTATACAGATGCTAATGCTAACACAGACTGTATACAGATGCTAATGCTAACACAGACTGTATACAGATGCTAATGCTAACACAGACTGTATACAGATGCTAATGCTAACACAGACTGTATACAGATGCTAATGCTAACACAGACTGTATACAGATGCTAATGCTAACACAGACTGTATACAGATGCTAATGCTAACACAGACTGTATACAGATGCTAATGCTAACACAGACTGTATACAGATGCTACATGCTAACACAGACTGTATACAGATGCTAATGCTAACACAGACTATACAGATGCTAATGCTAACACAGACTGTATACAGATGCTAATGCTAACACAGACTGTATACAGATGCTAATGCTAACACAGACTGTATACAGATGCTAATGCTAACACAGACTGTATACAGATGCTAATGCTAACACAGACTGTATACAGATGCTAATGCTAACACAGACTGTATACAGATGCTAATGCTAACACAGACTGTATACAGATGCTAATGCTAACACAGACTGTATACAGATGCTAATGCTAACACAGACTGTATACAGATGCTAATGCTAACACAGACTGTATACAGATGCTAATGCTAACACAGACTGTATGCAGATGCTAATGCTAACACAGACTGTATGCAGATGCTAATGCTAACACAGACTGTATACAGATGCTAATGCTAACACAGACTGTATACAGATGCTAATGCTAACACAGACTGTATACAGATGCTAATGCTAACACAGACTGTATACAGATGCTAATGCTAACACAGACTGTATACAGATGCTAATGCTAACACAGACTGTATACAGATGCTAATGCTAACACAGACTGTATACAGATGCTAATGCTAACACAGACTGTATACAGATGCTAATGCTAACACAGACTGTATACAGATGCTAATGCTAACACAGACTGTATACAGATGCTAATGCTAACACAGACTGTATACAGATGCTAATGCTAACACAGACTGTATACAGATGCTAATGCTAACACAGACTGTATACAGATGCTAATGCTAACACAGACTGTATACAGATGCTAATGCTAACACAGACTGTATACAGATGCTAATGCTAACACAGACTGTATGCAGATGCTAGTGCTAACACAGACTGTATACAGATGCTAATGCTAACACAGACTGTATGCAGATGCTAGTGCTAACACAGACTGTATACAGATGCTAATGCTAACACAGACTGTATACAGATGCTAATGCTAACACAGACTGTATACAGATGGACAATGCTAACACAGACTGTATACAGATGCTAATGCTAACACAGACTGTATACAGATGCTAATGCAACACAGACTGTATACAGATGCTAGTGCTAACACAGACTGTATGCAGATGCTAATGCTAACACAGACTGTATACAGATGCTAATGCTAACACAGACTGTATACAGATGCTAATGCTAACACAGACTGTATACAGATGCTAATGCTAACACAGACTGTATGCAGATGCTAATGCTAACACAGACTGTATACAGATGCTAATGCTAACACAGACTGTATGCAGATGCTAGTGCTAACACAGACTGTATACAGATGCTAATGCTAACACAGACTGTATACAGATGCTAATGCTAACACAGACTGTATGCAGATGCTAATGCTAACACAGACTGTATACAGATGCTAATGCTAACACAGACTGTATACAGATGCTAATGCTAACACAGACTGTATACAGATGCTAATGCTAACACAGACTGTATACAGATGCTAATGCTAACACAGACTGTATACAGATGCTAATGCTAACACAGACTGTATGCAGATGCTAATGCTAACACAGACTGTATACAGATGCTAATGCTAACACAGACTGTATGCAGATGCTAGTGCTAACACAGACTGTATGCAGATGCTAGTGCTAACACAGACTGTATACAGATGCTAATGCTAACACAGACTGTATGCAGATGCTAATGCTAACACAGACTGTATACAGATGCTAATGCTAACACAGACTGTATACAGATGCTAATGCTAACACAGACTGTATACAGATGCTAATGCTAACACAGACTGTATACAGATGCTAATGCTAACACAGACTGTATACAGATGCTAATGCTAACACAGACTGTATACAGATGGACAATGCTAACCTAGCTTAATGAAGCCCTAACATGGAGGAGCTTCAGGGTCATCACATCCAAACTCTGAGAACCTGGAGAAGGTTCATGTCGTTATGTCCTTTACAGAAACACTGGCCTCAGTGAAGAGAGCTCGCAAAGAACCTCCCCCCCAGGACCCCCAGGAAAGTGAGGCCCCCCAGGGCAGTGAGGCCCCCCAGGGGAGTGAGGCCCCCCAGGGGAGTGAGACCCCCCAGGGGAGTGAGGACCCCCAGGGGAGTGAGACCCCCCAGGGGAGTGAGGACCCCCAGGGCAGTGAGACCCCCCAGGGCAGTGAGACCCCCCAGGGCAGTGAGGCCCCCCAGGGCAGTGAGGCCCCCCAGGGCAGTGAGGCCCCCCAGGGCAGTGAGACCCCCCAGGGCAGTGAGGACCCCCAGGGCAGTGAGGACCCCCAGGGCAGTGAGACCCCCCAGGGGAGTGAGGACCCCCAGGGCAGAGGGGGCCCTGTGGGCTCCACAGCGTACGTAGTGGACAGAGTGAGGCCTCTCCTGCAGCAGACTGAGGACTACATCCTGGACATAGACCTGGACTTCTTCACCTGCAAGAACCCTTTCAAAGACCTGTACAGCCAGGTACACACACACACACACACACACACACACACACACACACACACACACACACACACACACACACACACACACACACACACACACACACACACACACACACACACACACACACACACACACACACACACACACACACACACACACACACACACACACACACACACACACACACACACACACACACACACACACACACACACACACACACACACACACTACAGCCAGGTACACACACACACACACACACACACACACACACACACACACACACACACACTACAGCCAGGTACACACACACACACACACACACACACTACAGCCAGGTACACACACACACACACACACACACACACACACACACACACACACACACACACACACACACACACACTACAGCCAGGTACACACACACACACACACACACACACACACACACACAACACACACACACACACACACTACAGCCAGGTACACACACACACACACACACACACACACACACACACACACACACACACACACACACACACACACACACACACACACACACACACACACACACACACACACACACACACACACTACAGCCAGGTACACACACACACACACACTAAAGTCTCACGATTGAAATGTCCCCTCTGTGGGACGAATAAAGGAATTCTTATCTTATCACTGTTACTGTGGATCTGTGTTCTTCTCTTCCTCCTCCTTCTCCTCCTTCTCCTCCTTCTCCTCCTTCTCTACCTTCTCCTTCTCTTCCTCCTCCTTCTCCTCCTTCTCCTCCTTCTCCTCCTTCTCTACCTTCTCCTTCTCTTCCTCCTCCTTCTCCTCCTTCTCTCCTTCTCCTCCTTCTCTACCTTCTCCTTCTCTTCCTCCTCCTTCTCCTCCTTCTCCTCCTTCTCTACCTTCTCCTTCTCCTCCTCCTCCTTCTCCTCCTTCTCTACCTTCTCCTCCTCTCCTCCTTCTCCTCCTTCTCTCTACCTTCTCCTCCTTCTCCTCCTTCTCCTCCTTCTCCTCCTTCTCTACCTTCTCCTTCTCCTCCTCCTTCTCCTCCTTCTCTACCTTCTCCTCCTTCTCCTCCTTCTCCTCCTTCTCCTCCTCCTTCTCCTCCTTCTCTACCTTCTCCTCCTTCTCCTCCTTCTCCTTCTCTACCTTCTCCTTCTCCTCCTTCTCCTCCTTCTACCTTCTCCTCCTTCTCCTCCTCCTCCTTCTCCTCCTTCTCCTTCTCTACCTTCTCCTCCTTCTCCTCCTCCTCCTTCTCCTCCTTCTCTACCTTCTCCTTCTCCTCCTTCTCTACCTTCTCCTTCTCCTCCTCCCTCTTCTCCTCTTTCTCCTCCTCCTCCTTCTCCTCTTTCTCCTTCTCCTCCTTCTCTACCTTCTCCTCCTCCTCCTCCTTCTCCTCTTTCTCCTCCTTCTCTACCTCCTCCTCCTCCTTCTCTACCTTCTCCTTCTCCTCTTTCTCCTCCTTCTCTACCTTCTCCTCTTTCTCCTCCTTCTCCTCTTTCTCCTTCTCCTCCTTCTCCTCTTTCTCGTCCTTCTCTACCTTCTCCTTCTCCTCTTTCTCCTCCTCCTCCTTCTCCTCTTTCTCCTCCTCCTCCTTCTCCTCTTTCTCCTTCTCCTCCTTCTCCTCTTTCTCCTCCTTCTCTACCTTCTCCTCCTCCTCCTTCTCCTCCTTCTCCTCTTTCTCCTTCTCCTCCTTCTCCTCTTTCTCCTCCTTCTCTACCTTCTCCTCCTCCTCCTTCTCCTCCTTCTCTACCTTCTCCTTCTCCTCCTTCTACTTCTCCTCCTCCTCCTTCTCCTCCTTCTCTACCTTCTCCTTCTCCTCCTCCTCCTTCTCTACCTTCTCCCTCCTTCTCCTCCTCCTCCTCCTTCTCCTCCTTCTCTACCTTCTCCTTCTCCTCCTCCTCCTTCTCCTCCTTCTCTACCTCCTCCTTCTCTACCTTCTCCTCCTTCTCCTCCTTCTCCTTCTCCTCCTCCTCCTTCTCCTCCTTCTCTACCTTCTCCTCCTCCTCCTTCTCCTCCTTCTCTACCTTCTCCTCCTCCTCCTTCTCCTCCTTCTCTACCTTCTCCTTCTCCTCCTCCTCCTTCTCTACCTTCTCCTTCTCCTCCTCCTCCTTCTCTACCTTCTCCTTCTCCTCCTTCTCCTCCTTCTCTACCTTCTCCTCCTTCTCCTCCTTCTCTACCTTCTCCTCCTTCTCCTCCTTCTCCTCCTTCTCCTCCTTCTCTACCTTCTCCTTCTCCTCCTCCTTCTCCTCCTTCTCTACCTTCTCCTCCTTCTCCTCCTTCTCCTCCTTCTCCTCCTCCTTCTCCTCCTTCTCTACCTTCTCCTCCTTCTCCTCCTTCTCCTTCTCTACCTTCTCCTTCTCCTCCTTCTCGTCCTTCTACCTTCTCCTCCTTCTCCTCCTCCTCCTTCTCCTCCTTCTCCTTCTCTACCTTCTCCTCCTTCTCCTCCTCCTCCTTCTCCTCCTTCTCTACCTTCTCCTTCTCCTCCTTCTCTACCTTCTCCTTCTCCTCCTCCCTCTTCTCCTCTTTCTCCTCCTCCTCCTTCTCCTCTTTCTCCTTCTCCTCCTTCTCTACCTTCTCCTCCTCCTCCTCCTTCTCCTCTTTCTCCTCCTTCTCTACCTCCTCCTCCTCCTTCTCTACCTTCTCCTTCTCCTCTTTCTCCTCCTTCTCTACCTTCTCCTCTTTCTCCTCCTCCTCCTTCTCTTTCTCCTTCTCCTCCTTCTCCTCTTTCTCCTCCTTCTCTACCTTCTCCTCTTTCTCCTCCTCCTCCTTCTCCTCTTTCTCCTTCTCCTCCTTCTCCTCTTTCTCGTCCTTCTCTACCTTCTCCTTCTCCTCTTTCTCCTCCTCCTCCTTCTCCTCTTTCTCCTCCTCCTCCTTCTCCTCTTTCTCCTCCTCCTCCTTCTCCTCTTTCTCCTTCTCCTCCTTCTCCTCTTTCTCCTCCTTCTCTACCTTCTCCTCCTCCTCCTTCTCCTCCTTCTCCTCTTTCTCCTTCTCCTCCTTCTCCTCTTTCTCCTCCTTCTCTACCTTCTCCTCCTCCTCCTTCTCCTCCTTCTCTACCTTCTCCTTCTCCTCCTTCTACTTCTCCTCCTCCTCCTTCTCCTCCTTCTCTACCTTCTCCTTCTCCTCCTCCTCCTTCTCTACCTTCTCCTCTCTCCTCTCCTCCTTCTCCTTCTCCTCCTCCTCCTTCTCCTCCTTCTCTACCTTCTCCTTCTCCTCCTCCTCCTTCTCCTCCTTCTCTACCTCCTCCTTCTCTACCTTCTCCTCCTTCTCCTCCTTCTCCTTCTCCTCCTCCTCCTTCTCCTCCTTCTCTACCTTCTCCTCCTCCTCCTTCTCCTCCTTCTCTACCTTCTCCTCCTCCTCCTTCTCCTCCTTCTCTACCTTCTCCTTCTCCTCCTCCTCCTTCTCTACCTTCTCCTTCTCCTCCTCCTCCTTCTCTACCTTCTCCTTCTCCTCCTTCTCCTCCTTCTCTACCTTCTCCTCCTCCTTCTTCTCCTCCTTCTCCTCCTCCTCCTTCTCTACCTTCTCCTTCTCCTCCTTCTCTACCTTCTCCTCCTCCTCCTTCTCCTCCTTCTCCTCTTTCTCCTTCTCCTCCTTCTCCTCTTTCTCCTCCTTCTCTACCTTCTCCTCCTCCTCCTTCTCCTCCTTCTCTACCTTCTCCTTCTCCTCCTTCTACTTCTCCTCCTCCTCCTTCTCCTCCTTCTCTACCTTCTCCTTCTCCTCCTCCTCCTTCTCTACCTTCTCCTCCTTCTCCTCCTTCTCCTTCTCCTCCTCCTCCTTCTCCTCCTTCTCTACCTTCTCCTCCTCCTCCTTCTCCTCCTTCTCTACCTCCTCCTTCTCTACCTTCTCCTCCTTCTCCTCCTTCTCCTTCTCCTCCTCCTCCTTCTCCTCCTTCTCTACCTTCTCCTCCTCCTCCTTCTCCTCCTTCTCTATCTCCTCCTCCTTCTCCTCCTTCTCTACCTTCTCCTTCTCCTTCCTCCTCCTCTCTTCTCTACCTTCTCCTTCTCCTCCTCCTCCTTCTCTCTACCTTCTCCTTCTCCTCCTTCTCCTCCTTCTCTACCTTCTCCTCCTCCTTCTTCTCCTCTTTCTCCTTCTCCTCCTTCTCCTCTTTCTCCTGCAGGAGGAGTACGCCATCCTCCAGGAGCTCTACAGCTTCAGACCTCCTGCTCCTGGGGCCAATCAGGTACCTTTGTAACCTCTGTGTGACTGTACCTGTGTGTCTGTACCTGTGTGTCTGTACCTTTGTAACCTCTGTGTGTCTGTACCTGTGTGACTGTACCTGTGTGTCTGTACCTGTGTGTCTGTACCTTTGTAACCTCTGTGTGTCTGTACCTGTGTGTCTGTACCTGTGTGACTGTACCTGTGTGTCTGTACCTGTGTGTCTGTACCTGTGTGACTGTACCTGTGTGTCTGTACTTGTGTGTCTGTACCTTTGTAACCTCTGTGTGTCTGTACCTGTGTGACTGAACCTGTGTGTCTGTACCTGTGTGTCTGTACCTGTGTGTCTGTACCTGTGTGACTGTACCTGTGTGTCTGTACCTGTGTGTCTGTACCTGTGTGACTGTACCTGTGTGTCTGTACCTGTGTGTCTGTACCTGTGTGACTGTGTGACTGTACCTGTGTGTCTGTACGTGTGTGTACCTGTGTACCTGTGTACCTGTGTGTCTGTACCTGTGTGACTGTACCTGTGTGTCTGTACCTGTGTGTCTGTACCTGTGTGACTGTACCTGTGTGTCTGTACCTGTGTGACTGTACCTGTGTGACTGTACCTGTGTGACTGTACCTGTGTGTCTGTACCTGTGTGTCTGTACCTTTGTAACCTCTGTGTGACTGTACCTGTGTGTCTGTACCTGTGTGTCTGTACCTGTGTGTCTGTACCTGTGTGTCTGTACCTGTGTGTCTGTACCTGTGTGTCTGTACCTGTGTGTCTGTACCTGTGTGTCTGTACCTTTGTAACCTCTGTGTGACTGTACCTGTGTGTCTGTACCTGTGTGTCTGTACCTGTGTGACTGTACCTGTGTGTCTGTACCTGTGTGACTGTACCTGTGTGTCTGTACCTGTGTGACTGTCCCTGTGTGTATGTACCTTTGTAACCTCTGTGTGTCTGTACCTGTGTGACTGTACCTGTGTGTCTGTACTTGTGTGTCTGTACCTTTGTAACCTCTGTGTGTCTGTACCTGTGTGACTGTACCTGTGTGTCTGTACCTGTGTGTCTGTACCTGTGTGACTGTACCTGTGTGTCTGTACCTGTGTGTCTGTACCTGTGTGACTGTACCTGTGTGTCTGTACCTGTGTGACTGTACCTGTGTGTCTGTACCTGTGTGACTGTACCTGTGTGTCTGTACCTGTGTGTCTGTACCTGTGTGACTGTACCTGTGTGTCTGTACCTGTGTGTCTGTTCCTGTGTGTCTGTTCCTGTGTGACTGTACCTGTGTGACTGTACCTGTGTGTCTGTCCCTGTGTGACTGTACCTGTGTGACTGTACCTGTGTGTCTGTACCTGTGTGACTGTACCTGTGTGTCTGTACCTGTGTGTCTGTACCTGTGTGTGTGTACCTGTGTGTCTGTCCCTGTGTGACTGTCCCTGTGTGTCTGTCCCTGTGTGTCTGTCCCTGTGTGTCTGTACCTGTGTGTCTGTACCTGTGTGACTGTACCTGTGTGTCTGTCCCTGTGTGACTGTCCCTGTGTGTCTGTACCTGTGTGTCTGTCCCTGTGTGTCTGTACCTGTGTGTCTGTCCCTGTGTGTCTGTACCTGTGTGTCTGTCCCTGTGTGTCTGTACCTGTGTGTCTGTCCCTGTGTGTCTGTCCCTGTGTGTCTGTACCTGTGTGTCTGTACCTGTGTGACTGTCCCTGTGTGACTGTACCTGTGTGACTGTCCCTGTGTGTCTGTCCCTGTGTGACTGTCCCTGTGTGTCTGTACCTGTGTGTCTGTACCTGTGTCCCTGTGTGTCTGTACCTGTGTGACTGTCCCTGTGTGTCTGTACCTGTGTGTCTGTCCCTGTGTGTCTGTCCCTGTGTGTCTGTACCTGTGTGTCTATACCTGTGTGTCTGCCCCTGTGTGACTGTCCCTGTGTGACTGTCCCTGTGTGTCTGTACCTGTGTGACTGTACCTGTGTGTCTGTACCTGTGTGTCTGTACCTGTGTGTCTGTCCCTGTGTGTCTGTACCTGTGTGTCTGTACCTGTGTGACTGTCCCTGTGTGACTGTCCCTGTGTGACTGTCCCTGTGTGTCTGTACCTGTGTGTCTGTCCCTGTGTGTCTGTACCTGTGTGGCTGTACCTGTGTGTCTGTCCCTGTGTGTCTGTCCCTGTGTGTCTGTCCCTGTGTGTCTGTACCTGTGTGACTGTATCTGTGTGACTGTATCTGTGTGTCTGTACCTGTGTGACTGTACCTGTGTGTCTGTACCTGTGTACCTGTGTGACTGTACCTGTGTGACTGTACCTGTGTGTCTGTACCTGTGTGTCTGTCCCTGTGTGACTGTCCCTGTGTGTCTGTACCTGTGTGACTGTCCCTGTGTGTCTGTCCCTGTGTGACTGTCCTGTGTGTCTGTCCCTGTGTTGACTGTACCTGTGTGACTGTCCCTGTGTGTCTGTACCTGTGTGACTGTACCTGTGTGTCTGTCCCTGTGTGACTGTCCCTGTGTGTCTGTACCTGTGTGACTGTACCTGTGTGTCTGTCCCTGTGTGACTGTCCCTGTGTGTCTGTACCTGTGTGACTGTACCTGTGTGTCTGTACCTGTGTGTCTGTCCCTGTGTGTCTGTACCTGTGTGACTGTCCCTGTGTGTCTGTCCCTGTGTGACTGTACCTGTGTGTCTGTACCTGTGTGTCTGTCCCTGTGTGTCTGTCCCTGTGTGACTGTCCTTGTGTGACTGTCCCTGTGTGACTGTCCTTGTGTGACTGTCCCTGTGTGTCTGTACCTGTGTGTCTGTCCCTGTGTACCTGTGTGACTGTCCCTGTGTTGACTGTACCTGTGTGTCTGTACCTGTGTGTCTGTCCCTGTGTACCTGTGTGACTGTCCCTGTGTTGACTGTACCTGTGTACCTGTACCTGTGTGTCTGTCCCTGTGTCCCTGTGTGTCTGTACCTGTGTGACTGTCCCTGTGTGACTGTCCCTGTGTGTCTGTACCTGTGTACCTGTGTGTCTGTCCCTGTGTGTCTGTACCTGTGTGACTGTCCCTGTGTGACTGTCCCTGTGTGTCTGTACCTGTGTGTCTGTCCCTGTGTGTCTGTGTGTCTGTACCTGTGTGACTGTCCCTGTGTGTCTGTACCTGTGTGTCTGTCCCTGTGTCCCTGTGTGTCTGTCCCTGTGTGACTGTCCCTGTGTGTCTGTCCCTGTGTGTCTGTCCCTGTGTGACTGTACCTGTGTGTCTGTCCCTGTGTGTCTGTACCTGTGTGACTGTCCCTGTGTGTCTGTCCCTGTGTGTCTGTCCCTGTGTACCTGTGTGTCTGTCCCTGTGTGTCTGTGCCTGTGTGTCTGTCCCTGTGTGTCTGTACCTGTGTGTCTGTACCTGTGTGTCTGTCCCTGTGTGTCTGTACCTGTGTGTCTGTCCCTGTGTGACTGTCCCTGTGTGTCTGTACCTGTGTGTCTGTACCTGTGTGACTGTCCCTGTGTTGTCTGTACCTGTGTGTCTGTCCCTGTGTGACTGTACCTGTGTGTCTGTCCCTGTGTTGACTGTACCTGTGTGTCTGTACCTGTGTGACTGTCCCTGTGTGACTGTCCCCTGTGTGTCTGTACCTGTGTGTCTGTCCCTGTGTGACTGTACCTGTGTGTCTGTCCCTGTGTGACTGTACCTGTGTGACTGTACCTGTGTGTCTGTACCTGTGTGTCTGTACCTGTGTGTCTGTACCTGTGTGTCTGTACCTGTGTGTCTGTCCCTGTGTGACTGTCCCTGTGTGACTGTCCCTGTGTGTCTGTACCTGTGTGTCTGTACCTGTGTGACTGTCCCTGTGTGTCTGTACCTGTGTACCTGTGTGTCTGTCCCTGTGTGACTGTCCCTGTGTGACTGTCCCTGTGTGTCTGTACCTGTGTGTCTGTACCTGTGTGTCTGTACCTGTGTGTCTGTCCCTGTGTGTCTGTACCTGTGTGACTGTCCCTGTGTGTCTGTACCTGTGTACCTGTGTGTCTGTCCCTGTGTGACTGTCCCTGTGTGTCTGTACCTGTGTGACTGTACCTGTGTGTCTGTACCTGTGTGACTGTACCTGTGTGTCTGTACCTGTGTGTCTGTACCTGTGTGACTGTCCCTGTGTGTCTGTACCTGTGTGTCTGTACCTGTGTGACTGTCCCTGTGTGTCTGTACCTGTGTACCTGTGTGTCTGTCCCTGTGTGACTGTCCCTGTGTGACTGTCCCTGTGTGTCTGTACCTGTGTGTCTGTACCTGTGTGTCTGTACCTGTGTGTCTGTCCCTGTGTGACTGTCCCTGTGTGACTGTCCCTGTGTGTCTGTACCTGTGTGTCTGTACCTGTGTGTCTGTACCTGTGTGTCTGTACCTGTGTGTCTGTACCTGTGTACCTGTGTGTCTGTCCCTGTGTGTCTGTCCCTGTGATCAGGAGGAGCTGCAGGAGTGTGTGGAGAGCCGGGTGAGGCAGCTGGAGGATCTGGAGGCAGCTTTTGGAGATTTACTGGAGGACGATGGAGAAGACACCATCACACGCTGGAGTGAGAACCCAGGGTAAGAGAGACCAGAGAGAGAGACCAGAGAGAGAGACCAGAGAGAGACCAGAGAGAGACCAGAGAGAGACCAGAGAGAGACCAGCGAGAGACCAGAGAGAGACCAGAGAGAGACCAGAGAGAGACCAGAGAGAGACCAGAGAGAGACCAGAGAGAGAGACCAGAGAGAGAGACCAGAGAGAGAGACCAGAGAGAGAGACCAGAGAGAGAGACCAGAGAGAGAGACCAGAGAGAGAGACCAGAGAGAGACCAGAGAGGGACCAGAGAGAGAGACCAGAGAGAGAGACCAGAGAGAGAGACCAGAGAGAGAGACCAGAGAGAGAGACCAGAGAGAGAGACCAGAGAGAGAGACCAGAGAGAGACCAGAGAGAGAGACCAGAGAGAGACCAGAGAGAGACCAGAGAGAGACCAGAGAGAGACCAGAGAGAGACCAGAGAGAGACCAGAGAGAGACCAGAGAGAGAGACCAGAGAGAGAGACCAGAGAGAGAGACCAGAGAGGGACC